AAATAAAGTAAAAATGCTACTAATCTTTCAAATACCTTCTAGAATGGCAAGACTCAGGGAGGGGATGTGTTAATTTCTTCCATCCGGTAGCCACCCAAATGTGGAAAGGGTCCTGATCAAAGGCACGCTGGCTTAATATTCAAGCAGCTGAGGTGGCATTCTGTGAGGCAGTCCATTATGGATAAACAGTATCCTTTAAGTGAACAAAAGCAATGGGAAGCAAAAGTTAAAGTAAAAGAAACACATCCAACATGGAGTCATAATTGGCTCTGAAGCTGAAAGCTCCAGAGAAGGCAATGGCACCCCACTCCAGTACTCTTGCCTGGAAAATCCCATGGATGGAGGAGCCTGGTAGTCTGCAATCCATGGTGTCGCTAAGAGTCGGACACGACTGAGCGACTTCACTTTCTTTTTTTTTTCCCAATTATTTTTATTAGTTGGGCGACTTCACTTTCACTTTTCACTTTCATGCACTGGAGAAAGAAATGGCAACCCACTCCAGTGTTCTTGCCTGGAGAATCCCAGGGATGGGGGAGCCTGGTGGGCTGCTGTCTATGGGGTCACACAGAGTTGGACACGACTGAAGTGACTTAGCAGCAGCAGCAGCGTCTAGACTAGTTTCTTCATCATGATTTTGTTTTTTTTTACATTTAGCTCTTTAATCCACTTGAAATTCACTTTGGCGTATGTGAAGTATGAATTTAATTACTGGAATTTCCGAAAGAGTTACCCAGGAGGATCTACAAAAATAATCCCTTTTTGCACCCATTTGACCATTCTATCTACAGTGATGAGGCTTCCATTCACATCTTCCCACTGACACTATTTATCACAGTCAGTCAGTCACTTATTGCCGAATCCAACACATTATTTTCAGATCTTTGAGAAACTTAATGTAGTTCATGCCACTCTTCTTAATATGCTTCTCCTTTGGTTTCCATGACTCTACACTCTTAGGATTTTCTAGCTCTCAATATATTAATTCTCTGATTCTTTTGCTGATCTCGTGTTTTGTGCCTATCTTTTGGCTAACAATTATCAAGTTCTCATTATCTGTGCCACACACTTGTGCTATGCATTTTACACTCTGCCAAGCATTTAATCCTCACAAGAACTCTAATGAAGTAGTAGCTCATGACTGCAGCTTACATTTGTTGACCGCTTATGTAATACACACTGTTTACTTACATATTTACCTCACACAACAACCCTACAAGCAAGCACTAATATTATTCCCATTTAACAGTCTAGGAAACTGAATAGCCTTAGAGTTTCAGTAACTTGGCCACAGTCACTCAGTTAGGAAGTGTTGAGAGCCAGGATTCACATTTTAGATTGCCTCTAAAGCTCATGCACTTAATTATTTGCTCTACCTGTCATTTTGTATATGAAGAAACTGAGTAATGTGGGTAATAAATGGTGGCACATCTACCTTTAACCACCTAAACACCTTTCTAATCTTTGTATTCTTCAGATTATATCCTTCACATTCTTCATGCTCATGGGCAGTCTGATCCATTCCAAAGGTTTCATTTACGACTTACATGCTGCTGCATATATTATTATTCTGCATGAGTATATAATGATCCGAAATCTCTACTCTGCATCATGGGCCAGATAGTCAATTATCCAATTGATCATCGCCACAGAAATATTTCAAAGGCACCTCAAACGAAATATGTCAAAACTAAACTTGTCTTTTACCTTAATAGTATTCCTCTCTTATGTTCCCTGTCTGAACGAACGGCATCACCATCCAGACAGACACTACTTCTAGGAAACTAGGAATTATTCTGAAGACCCTACTTTCTTCCTTAACATCTCCCCTTCAACCTCATCATTAAAACCCTGGATCAGGCCTACACCACTTCTTGCCTGGACTGTCCTTCAATCTATCTTTACAATGACACCAGAACTTATTTTTCCAATTTGAATACTCACTAAAGGTCAGCTACTAGGTTGATACCTCTTTATTAAAACAGAAATCTGTTTTTAAACTGCTCTCCTATACAAAATAAAAATCTTCAGTTGGCCTCCACTGTTTAATATTCAAATTTCTCAGCATTGCATACATGACATTCTACTTATCCACTCCATCATTTTCAACTTCATTTCCCCATGTCCCTCTTTATGTTCTATTGCTGCTGTTTCTTCTGCTTATAATACCCATCTGAGCCTTAACTTACTTAATTGCCTAACATCAGGTGAAATATTACTATCTCTATGAACTCTTCCTGAGACCACTCCCTTTTCTTCCCCAAGTCAAAAGTGAATAAAATTCACTTACTCTCAACTGTGGGGGTACAAAGATTTCTAACACACCTCCAGTTTTCATGTAATTTCATGACGGACAGGGAGGTCTGGTGTGTTGTGGTCCATGGGGTCGCAAAGAGTCGGACATGACTGAGTGACTGAACTGAACTGATCAAAAGTTTGTCTCAAAATTCAACTTAAAAATGGTCAAAGGAACTGAATAAACATTTCTCTGAAGAAGATATACAAATGGCCAGTAAGCACATGAAAAGAGACTCAACATTATTAGTCATGACAGAAATGCAAGTCAAATCTATAGTTGTAATAAAAGGGTGTATAAGAACAGGTATTGCTGAGGATGCAGAGACACTAGAGGCCTCATACTATGCTGGTGGTGATATAAAATGGTACAGCCCAGTTTGACAGTTCCTCAAAAGGTTAAACACAGAGTTACTATATGACCCAGAATTTCCACAATTCAGTAAATACCCAAGAGAAATGAAAATATATTTCTATACAAAAATACACACATGAATGTTCATAGGAGCATTATTTAAATAGCCAAAAAGTAAAATAAATAAATAGCCAAAAAGTAGAACACAATCCAAACGTCCATCAACTCATAAATGAGCATCAAAATGTAGAATGTCCATAAAAGAGAGTATTATTCAACCATCAAAAAGAACGAAGTACTGCTGTATGGTACAACATGCACAAATCTTGACAACATTATGGTAAGTGAAAGAAGCCAGAAATAAAAGGTCACATAATGTATGATTCCATTTATATATATGAAATGTCTAGAATAGACAAATCTATAGAAATAGGAAGTATATTAGTGGTTTTGAGGAGCCAAAGACCAAAGGTGATGCAGTGACTGTTGACGGGTATGCAGTTTCTTTCTGGGGTGATGAAAATGTCTTCATATTAGATGGCATGGGATGATTGCAAAACTCTAAGAATAAACTAAAAATCACTGAATTGCACACTTTAAAAGGTTCAATTTTCTGATATATGAATTATATTTCAATAAAACCTTTTTTTTCCCTAAAAAAAAAAATTTTGCGTGAGAGAAAAACTCTTTGGAACCATGGGATCCATGGAGACAAAGAGAATTATTAAAGGAAGCATTTGATAGTGTTAACTATTGCATAAAAGTGAAATTTATAAGGAATTACTTCCTGCATCCAAACTGCAAATTACACTTTTACTCTGTATGTCAATAAATTGAAAGCAATTATATCATGATGTACCACCCACAAGTATGCTATCAGTCTGCATGTTCTTATTACAATTATTTATTTCCATTAGGTATAAGGCAACCTAAACTATTTTTATCTATCTAGTCATTCCACACTTCCATCACTTTGGTAAAGATCTATCCCAACAAAAACACTTAAAACAGATGTTAACAGAAGAAACCCATGAAGGAACACATTTTCAAAGGACAACAAAAGATATAGATAGTATTTGATGTAATGTTAGTTACTGAGAAAACTTGCTATGTCTGGCATATTTATTTATTCATTAAAAATATTCATTTATATTTTCCAGTCAGCATTAAGACCAAATTTTACTAATCTCTTTAAGTTGTCTGGAATTTTAATAACACTATGCTCAAGTAAATTTTATTTTAAAATCAAATTCTAATATAGTGCAAAATGTTAAATGAATTCACAGCCATCACTGCAGTTCTAATTGCATGCTTTATCTAAAGACTGAAGAAGATTGTGCTAAATTATATGGAACGAACTAGTGTTCACTGTTTAGGCTATCCATTAACTGCCAGTCAAACTAATAACAGCAATCTCTTCCCTAATTTTCATGGCGCAGCTGTTTATAGAATATCTTGGGCGTATTCACTTCAACAGATACATAATACTGCAGACATTCACAATGAAAGCTGTATTTTCTTGTTTTCAAATTTTCCTATGGACTGTATATTTTTTCTACCTTGCACATTCAACCACTTTCTTAAAACTAACTGCTTTAAACAATCAATAAATAAACTTAATTGCTATATGGTGGTTTTAAATTTAAAATCTATACCCCAAAGCCTAAATTCCAAGAAAACAACCCCCCCCAAAAAGGGGGGGAAAAAAGGAAAGAAAAAGCCTATAACACACAACTTCTTTGTTTTTTAAAGTGCAATATAAAAAAATCTCCAGCAGAGACTGGTTGTGTCTTTACAAGTTATTCACCAATGTGACATTTATATTGATTTTCCTGTAATGGTTTTTGAAAGTTAAATAAATATTAATTTTATCAGCACTAACCAATCTGAATATTTACCATTTTTAAGTATATGACTCAGGCATTTCAATTACTCCATGCAGAAGATACACAAAATTATTTTTCTGTAATACTGTACACCAAAATTCATTTTACATTAATTTTAAAAAAGCTAAACTTAACAATCTGTATCAGTGGTTGTCAGTATTTTGGATTTCATGGAATGAAAAAATAAAAAAATTAAGCAGAGCTCAGTTTGCCAAGGAAAAACATTATTTTATAAAAGAAAGGACATCCTAACACTAGAAGAATAGGAAGTACACAGATACAGGATAAAGGGCATCCTTTAAGTTGATAAGACTTAGCATTAAGAAAACTTTATGATAGTGTCTTCATTTTGACAAATGCTGAAAACTGTGACACAGCCTAGCAATTGGGAACCACGCATCTATATTTCATAAGCCTAAAAACACTGCATTTAGGTCACTTTTGCAACCATATAAATTCAATGAGCCTTGAAAAGCAGCAACTTACAATTCCTGCCTAAGCCTTCTTATCTTGGCCTTAGCATCTGCCAGCTCCACTGACAGATGTTGTCGACTTTCTGTTCGCTTCATGCCTGGAGAACCACAAGGTGACTGTGCAGATGAAGAGGCATGGGGTAGAAAATGAAGACCATCCCGCTCTTCGGAGAGTTCTACAATAGTCTAAGGAAACAGAAATCACAGAAGCACTTTTAGTATTTTACGTATCAGAGAATCAAATATACAACACTAGTCACTAAGTCTAAGTATTATACCACAATATCAGAAAGAATCCATTGCTCAAAAATGTCTTATTTATTTAATATCTTTATCACTAATGGTGAACTTTTTGTTTTTTTACTGCCACACAGCATGTGGGATCTTAGTTCCCCAACCAGGGATCAAACCCACACCCCTTGCATGGTGATTTAAAGACAGCACAGCCAGGTAAGTCCCTTAACTTTGACAGATTTAGCTGTCATTTTTTTAAAAATTTCATTCAACAGTACATGGTTGAGTTATTTAGTAGACAACACAAGAACAAGACAATATTTTTTTCCTTCCCCAGTGTTTTAACAAAAATTAATAAATTGTGGTAAAATACATAGAACAAATAGCAACTGTTGGAAAGGCATAGAAGATTTGTTGACACAGTAAAGGAATTAAGATTAGTATGTCTGTAACTGTTCTGTCCAACACAGTAACCAATAGCACAAGAGGCTAATTTCAAGTTTAAAAAATTAAAAATAACAGTTCCTTAGCCTCCTTTACTAGAGTATTACTCCTATATCACCATTCGTATGCCTGAACCTCCAATCACTCAACTCTCCCCTTCTGCCCAGTCAAATGGATTATTCTTGACTATCCTAGAGTTCCTACTTGGCCTGAAACTGCAATTAGCCTGTTAAATGTCACCCTTACTTTCTAATTTAACACTACTATGTCATTCTTTGACTATGGTTCATTCACTCTTCGGGAAAAAACAAAAGGAAACAAATATTTATAGAACTCCTAGCTAGAGAATTTTCCAACAAGATCCCATCCAATACTATAATTGGCAATAAAGGCTTTAATCTATTTTATACATAAAGAAACTGAGGCACATATAGATTAAATAACTTAAAGTCACACACGAATATAACACAAATTAAAGTCTGACTTAAAATGCCATGTCATTTTCCTTACCTACCATCAATTTTTCTATTCCTGTTCTAAGGTGATAAAGAACTCTAAAAAATACAAAACAAATAAAATACAGCCCTACTACAGAAGTTGTCATCCACTTTTAAATAAGCTCTTTCCAATGCCCATCAATTCTTTCACTGAAAATCTTGATGATTTCCTGGCAAAATTTTCCCATAAAGGCAGATGTAAATATATTCCCTTTCCTCTACATAAGCCCCCAACTACAAACTGCTATCATGATTTCCAACAAATGAACTCTCCTTCAATTTGTCAAAGAAACAGAACTACCTGCAATAAATTCCTCCATTTTTATGTATCTCTTATTCCCAAAACATATTCCTTACTTCTATAACATTTTCAGTTTCTCTCTTCCTATTGCTTTTTTCTCCTTGTTCTTCAAAGACATACAAGTTTCTACTATCTGGGGGTGGGGGAGAATCACATTTTCCCCTTTCTTATCCTTCTATTTCTCCCTCAATGTTACATTTTGAAGGATGGCTTTCTCACTGACACTACTTCATCTTGTCTATCTACTTAGTATGTCCAGTCCAACTCCACTGTCTCTGTGAACAGCGTTACTAATTTCCACAGCAGCCCAAGCTCAAACTTCACGAGTTAGCTTTTATTTGCCTCTTTTCTTACTGTCTCAATTATCTTTAATATTGCCTTGTAACATCTCTTGTCTTTAACAAAAGCACCTGCATACATGTGTGTGTGCCTGTGCTCAGTCATGTCTGATTCTTTATGACTCTTTGGACTGTAGCTTGCTAGGCTCCTCTGTTCATGGGATTTTTCAGTCAAGAATACTGGAGTGGGTTGCCATTTCCTCCTCCAGGGGATCTTTCTGACCCAGTGACTGAACTTGCGTCTCCTGTGTCTCCAGCATTTGCAGGCAAATTCTTTACCTGTGAACCATCAGTACCTGCATATAGTATTACTAACTATCTGTTTCACACACAAACTAGAACTTAATTACATGCCATCTTATTTTTCATTTACAATGTGCTTTATGAAAATAAATCAGATACAACCTTCCTTATACTTCCTTTGTACCCCTGATGTTATCCAGCATAGTAGTGAACACAAAAAGCTGCTCAAAAATATTTAACTGAATTATTCACAAAACAGAAAACTCAAGAAAAGTACTGAAGATACATATTACATTTGAAATTAGCAGGTGGTAAACTTAAAGTATATCAACAATTTCCAGTTGTAAACAAACAGCACAAACGATCTATGGATGCAAAATATTTTTTAAAAAGAAAGAAACCATGGGGAGGGAGATCGAAGGGGGATTCAAGATGGGGAACACATGTAAACCCATGGCTGATTCATATCAATGTATGGCAAAAACCACTACAATATTGTAAAGTAATTAGCCTCCAACTAAAATAAACAGAGTAAAAAAATAAAATAAAAAGAAAGAAACCTAGTATTAAGAATTAAGAGAGTACCCAGAGGTACTTTCCATTTTGCCTTTTCTCTAATAATGGTAGTTTCTTGAGCTCAAGAACTCCAAACATTTTCAAAAAGTCTGATAGGAAATGTTATTAAGGCATACTTTTAATTTCTGAAAAGCTTTCTCTGATCATTCCAATCTTAGGTATTCCACTATCAGTTGCAAGTAAATCTTTCTTCTTCAAATTCCTATAGTACAGCATTTCAGAGAAGGAAATGGCAACCCACTCTAGAATTCTTGCCTGGAGAATTCAATGGACAGAGAAGCCTGACGGGATACAGTCCATGGGGTCGCAAAGAGTTGGACACAACTGAGCAACTAACTCACAAATATAATACAACATTTAGATACATGTCTCTTTTTTTGGTACTTGTCACCAACTTTTATTACAGTTAACTCACTTATTCAAATAATTTCCCTATTAGATTGTAACCATCTTTGGTTCTTTGAAAGTCTGTTGCTCTCACATACTCTAGTAAAAGTTCTTACAAAAAGCAGATATTTATCAATATATGTTGAAGAATGAACATATGATACAACAAGGCTAAAAATTCCAGGTGACAATAATTACAGAATTCATCATTAAGGAAAAGTTTCACAGCAGAGATTTAGGCAAAGGTATTATAAAGGTTAGGATCACAAGTGTTGGAGTTAGAATGGGCAAGTCACCTAACTTCTCTGAACTTTAGAATCTTCATCTATAAAATGAGTTTATTGTGCAGATGTACTAAAATTAAGTACACAATAAATTTAAAAACAAGGCTTGGCCTAAACAGTGACAATAAATATTTAGTTTTTAGTAAAAGGAGAACATCCTGCTGGAATTTAGTAAAAGATCCTGGCCTGGGAAGATCCTGCTGGAGAACATGCTACCCACTCCAGTGTTCTTGGGCTTCCCTGGAGGCTCAGATGGTAAAGAATCCGCCTGCAATGCAGGTGACCCAGGTTCAAACCCTGGGTTGGGAATATCCCTTGGAGAAGGGAACAGCTACCCACTCCAGTATTCTGGTCTGGAGAATTCCATGGACAGAGGAGCCTGGCAGGCTACAGTCCATAAAATTACAGAGTCTGACATGACTGAGCCACTTTTACTTTCAAAAGGAGATGACTGAAGGAAGAGATTCTTGTTTCATAGCATTAAGAAAAAAAAAAAGTATAATTAAAAACAATGTGACCAAATTATACTTTCTAGATCAAAGTGAAACAATGATGACAAAAGATCAATAAAAACAGAGAAAAGGGCTCTCTGTTCTGACAAGGGGAAGCACCCCCTGTGGATAGCCTGTGGCTGCCCAATTCTGGCCATGCCAACAAATGGAGGATTTGAGTGCTAGGATACCCACTTGAACTCCCAGTGTGAGTACTACTGCCCGCCAGGATACATACTTGAAAGTGTTTTTACTAAAACAGTAAAAAGATACTAATATAAAAATGTAGATACAGCATATGGTTCAAGACTGACTGAAAATGAAGTGATCTGAGTATCTCAGGGTAGGTTTCATATATACTAGGAATGTTTTGAAACTCATTCTTTTCTTCCTTTGGTCTCACTGTTTTAAATTTTTAAAAAATTTAGCTGTTGCTTTAAAAAACATTTCTTTATTTCCTATATGTTCTTCTCTTTTAAAACCATAAGAAAAGCTAAAAATTCCCATCAGAAATGAATATATTTTATAGAGCAATGAGAAAGCTTTTTATTCCAAAAACATCTCTAGAAATTTCTCCTATATAGTCTTTCATTAGTCCCAAGACTAATCAAATTCTCCATAAATAAACTCAAATCTGTCTCTCTCATGTAAATTGAACAACTGATCGAAGTTTCACAATCTCCAGAATGACACAGTATTTTGGTCTGCTATTAAGAAAATATTACTCACCACCACATGCACTAACGTCTAGACTTCTCTAAAAATTATAAACTGCTCTCAAAGAATGCAACCAAAAAGTCTGGTGCAATTTTACTCCTTTTAAAGGCAAAGTGCTTTCTTAAAAGAGCTTATAATAATTCTTTTTTAAAAATCACACCTCATTATACTGCTACAAAAATTTGAGACCTTTTGTGGGACATTTTATTCAGAACACCTGTTATTCTCCTTTTATTAACACATTTTTTACAGCCTCAAAATGTGGCAATGAAACTGCAAAATTAACCTTAATCAAATTCTTAAACCTTGAAAAAGCAATGGTTTTTCCACTTACATCAATGATATTTTTAGTTTTATACTGTTGCCAGAACTCTGGTTTTATACTTGTTGCCAGAACTATAGGGATGAGTTTTTTAAAAAACACAGAACAAAATCAGAGTAATTTAAAAGGAAGGGGAAAAGAAAATCAAATTGCAATATGTTTACTTTGGGGCTCTTATGCATCCTTTCTGGTTCCTGTGTTACACAAAACACATAGTACCATATTAACTGTCCCTAAGAAACAAACTATCAATTCTCAAAACTCTCTTAAGTTTTTTGGAAAGGAAACTTTCATAATATACTAAAAGAAATTTACAAACCTCTGAATGTTCATCTCTCTCATCTATAAGCCTTTTTAGATGCAATACCATATTTTTCAAGAGTGGTTCTATTTCCTCCTGAGACATATCAGTCACTTCCATCCATTGTAGATCAAACACATTTTCCTGATTATGGGTTACCTTTAGAAAGAAACCAAAATAAATAAATAGCTAGTATTTAAAAATAAATTTTAGTGCATTAAGTTAAATATTATGTATTCCATATAATAAAAATATGAAAAGTAAATATGTCTAAAGAACATTTGAAATTAACGAATGCTGAAAAAGCTTCTACTAAAAATTATTTTCGCTAAATATAATCTAAATGAATTTATTTTTATCTTCTAACTAAAAACTAAGATTTAATTCAAGGCATTCCTAAGGAAAGGTAATACTGTTATTTCTGACAACTGCTTTAATAGAATCAATTGATCATTTCCTTAGATAAGACTAAATTAATTGTAACTGAAATCAAAAGCAAAAGTTTTTTCTAATCCCATTGCACTTTCATTCTCGAAAAGCAAAGTTTTTACAGATTCTGAGGTGACACTATCACAGCACCTTAGGAGAAAAGGACTCCTAATAAAAATTTGCAAAAGAATGGAGAAGTTATATAAGTGAAATACTTATTTCTCGTTTTCCATTTCTCACTGTGATTCTGATATTTTGCTTTAACTTTCACAATAAACAGAAAAATAACACTTTCAAGAATGGTGGCAAATTCAGTAACTTGTGGCACTCAAGATTTATTAAAAATAAAATATAAATCACAAAGCTAATGGAAACATACATATAAGTGGAAACTACCAACAAAACTCTATCTTGTTGCATACTAATATGCCTACTGTTGACAATATTACTGACAAGAAAGCAGAGCTCTATGAACATTAACTAACAGAAAAGATGACATATGGAACACAAAGTGATTTAAATAGAGAATATTTAAATACAGCTCTTCCCCCTTCCGTTTCCTTAGTTCTCTCCAATCACTGTGTAAAATTTAACACACTGTAGTTCTAAAAACTAATAAGTACACAAGATTAAAAGCCCAAGACTAGACAGATGCAGAAATGGCAGCTTTTAAAAAAAACTTAACAAATATTAACTTCAATTATTTGACATTGCACATTTTGCCCTATATTTAGGTTTTACATGGATGTTACAAATCACTAATGTATTTATAATTCAAGCAATGTCTTCAACAGACATTCTGCTGTGCCCATTCATTAAAACAAAATCACTGGAGTGACATAATACATTACCTTAGCTCACTTTAATTTGAATTACAGGCAGTGATCCACTTTATGCTGTTTCCATTCACTATATCATGCATGCTATGCTAACAAAGAAATACACATTCTTCAGATAGCACTTTCTGCTTATATCCCTATGGATAAAGTCAACAGTACATCTGTAGTCAGCACTGTGACATTACAGATGATTCACTTAAGAAGCTATGTCTAAAGAAAAGAGGACGATTTGCCTAAAAGCAGAGTGCATCTATATTTAACTTTTATTTATTCTTGCTTAAGTTATGACTTTAAGTATTTGGGGAGATATACAAATATAATGTATGACGAGTTTCATAAAAAACACATAAACATTTTATACAGATTATTACCTCTTGAATATGTGCGGCAACTGCTGCTTTCGTATCAAAATCTAAACCTTGAATTCTTTCAATAAATTCTTCTTTTTTCTGGCACTAAGGGAAATGAATAGAACAATCACTCATACTTTATAGGGTATAGTTGTTAATATGTTGTAAATAAGTAAAAACTCATTAGGCTAAAAAGCTTGGCTATAATTAGGGTTTAAACAGCACAATGAGGGTTTTGTTTTGCATTTAAATGATCCCTCTAATATACTCACCTAATAAAAAGATTAAAATTTAGAAATATTTATTTAAAAAGTAAGGTACTGAAAATTCATATTACTTGTATGCTGAAAAGTTCTAAAGCAGGTAATCATTACACAATTCATGTGAGGTCAGTACAATATTATTATGCTAACTTTACAAACAGAGAAGTAAAGAATCAAGAACTTGTTTCAGGGAGGATAAGTTACTTGCCAAAAAACACAGTGAGTCAGTGGCAGAATTCGGAATATAGCCAAAATGCTCAGTCAGTCTTTGGCTGTCATCAAACAACACAGCCTTTCTTCTTGGAAAAAAAAAATTCTAAGCAATTTTTACTTCAAGCTTACAATTCATTCTCACATCTTTATCCTATCAATCTCAATGAAAGAAATCTCTTTTTGTGGCCCAGTTCAACACATATAAGATAATACAATAAATATTTGATTTGTTTCTAACACAAAGTTACCATGGGCAAAATTTAAGAATGTATATACAAGTACACATATAGCAAGTGGAATAAAGGCAGCAATTCTTCATTGTGTACATTAAAAAAAACTTGATATAAACTAAAAATGTTACAATGCAAACCTTATCTTTTCCTTTCCAGTCAGTACTGAATAAGAGCTTAACATGCATCTTACTGTTTTACTCTGTCTTCCCCCTACATCTCTTATACTGCAATCCAACTGCTTGTATAACTGTATTTTTACAGCTATCAAATGAGAAGTGCATACAAAATAGACAGCACTGCCTTACTAGCTTAGTTGCATCTTTTGGGCCAATTACTGAACTCCTAGTGAAGGCACTAAACTCAAAAAAGAAAAATTGGATCTTTGGTCAATAAGAAACTTAGTAAGGTTATGATTTATACTCTACATTATAATATTCTATTTCTACTGTCACACAATTTAACTTAAATAAGCACATTTCTATCAGTGCAGAAAGTTCCTCATCCTATAAAAACAAAATTATTAGGATAATACAAAAATATTTAAAATTAAATTACAAGAAACATAAAGTTTTCAGTTTTAACGAGGAAGTCAGAGTTTTGGGGAATATGTGATAAAAGTTACCAGGCTTAAAACCAAGATTTTTGGTCTACTGACAGGCGTATCTGACAGGCATAGTGAGAACAATTAACAGGCATAGTGAGGGAACCTTTGTAGCATATATAAAATAACTTTTTAGGTATGGTAATCCCAATTTTTAAATTTTATGCTTCCAAAAGTGCTGCCCAAGAAATAGTTTGAACCAATGAACATACATTAAATGGCAGGGTTATTAATAACTATGACTCAAGGAAGAGTCATAATTCAACTGCCATACCTTTGGTTTAAATTAAACATATACTACAGTTCCCTTTTCTAAGTCTTTGAGCCACTGTTTATATTTACACTATCTTTAAAAGCTCACCCTTTAACATAATCTCAACACAAATCAATGAGAATTCTTCCTTTACCCTTCAAATACCTACAATTTGTACTAAATCTCACCTCTATTCAAACTTTAGAAGTTTTAAGAAGGCTAGACTTTCTTAAAGAATAAACAGGCTAGACTTTCTTAAAGAACACAGAATAAAGTTGATAGGTTCTTGAAGGCTAGAAAAGAGAGAGTACCAAGATGGAAAGAGAATGAGAAGACACAAATTTTGAAATTGAAAAATCAGAATATCAGTGTTTTCCTACACAGTACTCAGAAGTTACCTATGGCTGAGTATTGAAATGTAACTAGTGCAAATGAGCAACTGAGATTATAATTTTATTTAATTGTAATTAATTTAAGCTTAAACAGCAATATGTGGCTAGTGGCTATTCTATTGACAGTCCAGCTCTAGAGCATAACGACAGTCTGGTGTTAAAAACAGAACTACAAATAGTTTTACTTCCAATTATAAAGACTCAAATGAAGACTAAATAAGCATTAGAAAACTTTTTCCACTTAAAATTAAGCTCTTTTATCTTTATATACAGTTCTTAAAGTGTTATGGGCACTGAAGAGATTTCTAATTCTATTACAGTAACTGACTTCTAAGCCAGCAGATGATTGAGACTTCATAATTTCTGCCTTTTTATCATCATTCCTCTTCCCTTCAATAACACATACACACGTAAGTCATACAGATATTTTGGGAGAGGTTTTCAGGGTACCTCTAGGGAACTTGAAAAGCTTGGGGTCTTTAAAAGCCTCAGTATTTTTTTAAAAAAGAATTAATTTTAACTAAATTAAAAAGAATTAAATTAACATAAACAACTGAAACAAAATAACAAAAAGTGTTTTTCTCCTCTTACACTGTTGGTGGGAACGCAAACTAGTACAGCCGCTATGGAAAAGAGTGTGGAGATTTCTTAAAAAAACTGGAAATAGAACTGCCATATGACCCAGCAATCCCACTTCTGGGCATACACACCGAGGAAACCAGATCTGAAAGAGACACGTGCACCCCAATGTTCATCGCAGCACTGTTTATAATAGCCAGGACATGGAAGCAACCTAGATGCCCATCAGCAGACCAATGGATAAGGAAGCTGTGGTACATATACACCATGGAATATTACTCAGCCATTAAAAAGAATTCATTTGAATCAGTTCTAATGAGATGGATGAAACAGGAGCCCATTATACAGAGTGAAGTAAGCCAGAAAGATAAAGACCATTACAGTATACTAACACATATATATGGAATTTAGAAAGATGGTAACGATAACCCTATGTGCAAAACAGAAAAAGAGACACAGTTGTATAGAACAGACTTGTGGACTCTGTGGGAGAAGGAGAGGGTGGGATGTTTCAAGAGAACAGCATCGAAACATGTATATTATCTAGGGTGAAACAGATCACCAGCCCAGGTTGGATGCATGAGAGAAGTGCTCGGACCTAGTGCACTGGGAAGAGCCAGAGGGATCGGGCAGAGAGGAAGGTGGGAGGGGGGATCGGGATGGGGAATACATGTAAATCCATGGCTGATTCAGGTCAATGTATGACAAAAACCACTACAATATTATAAAGTAATTAGCCTCCAACTAATAAAAATAAATGAAAAAAAAAAAGTGTTTTTCTTCAGAATCTCCTTAGGTTATACAGCTATGTTAAAATTTCTAACATGGACTCTGAACAGCAAAGGCCCATCCTTTTAAGTCTTTCAGAAACTAGAGCCTCAAAAATTTACAAAAATTTATTAAAATAAAAATATGAAGTATTTTAACTTACCTGAACTGCACAACCCAGTAAAAGCAAAAGCAACTTTTTAACTTCTTCTGTGCCTTGTTCTGAAATAAAAAGAATTACTACTAGGTACAACATTTTACTTTAGTTCAACTGTGATAGTGGTAGAACTCTAGAGATGGTATTCACAACTTGATCAAGGAATTAAGTTTCTAAGTACAGTGAATTCAAAAGAGCAGCTCTTTATGTGCACAATGTGGTAACAGCAGAAGAAATGTGCAAGGATCTCAATTTTGAAAGGCTGTAGTACAGATAAAATAGCTTTCAAAGCTCTATGTGATAAAGGATGCTAACTATAAATCCACCACTTCTCCATAAATCATTATATTACAACAGGATACCAAATTAAGAACTGCTGCTATAGAGACATGCCAGAGTCAGCCAAAATGGTCCCGAATAAGTCCAGCTTCTTTTAGGCCTATTGGTGTTTTTTTTTCTAAAACACATATCTTACATGATTCATCTACCTATAAAATTCAAATGGCTTTCCACTATGTAGAGTCATAAGAATCAAAAGTTTAAATGTCAGTTACAGTGAGGCTGGTGAAATAAAGGTATATAACAAGCAGGATAAAATTAATGGTCTGTAACAGAGCTGGAAAGTATATTCACTGTTCAATAGTATTCAATCCAAATGTTCTAAAAACAAGAGTCACTCCAGAAATTCACCATCAAGCCAATCTGTCTTCAAATAAGTCCAAATTCTCTTTTCAAATAATTCCTCCTACTCTCCATGAAACCTTCCTAGCTACACTGATCCCCTTTCCCCAAATATACATACATACACATGCCACTGCCATAACTTCTGTTACCTGCTCTGTCTGTCCTTCTTTGCTACCCCTCTTTCCTCTGATGAACTACTTACTAATCTAATCACAATAATATGCACAGCTCTTACATCTCTGTATAGTCTTCCTTGACCCAAATACCAGTGGTCTCTAGCCCTCACTAATTTGCCAACTTTAATCAATAGCTCCATATTTTATAAGCTTTAACATTTTTACATCTATTTTGCATTAATTATTACATAACCCAGTAATCTGTTTATCACCCACCAAAACACAAGATCCTCCAGAATATAAACCATTTTCTTTATATTCCTGGTCCCTCTAACTTGGTAAGTAAATCCTAAATATATATGGAATTGAAAACAATTCCACTCTATACACAACACTTTTTCATTTTTTATTTGTATATTCAAACATTCCAGAATGTCTCGAAAAAGCACCTAACCTCCTAATTCAACCCCATGTAGTTGGGAGTTTCCTCAACAAAACCAGCTGCTTGGATTTAGTTTTTATTTTGGTTTTATCTTTGTTTTGACTAAAGGTGGGAATTGGAGAAGATGTACTTGATTTGGGTTACATGTAGCCTGTAAGAATTAGATCCTTTGTTGAAACTGTTAGGTAGCTATTAATTTTCCCAATTGTTCAAAACTTAAAACCCTGAACATATCACAATTAAAATCTGGTAAAGGGCAGAAACTTTGAAGAAAATAATTTAAATGATCTAAGAAACTATTTCTCATCTTTTTTCCACTCAAAAGTAGTTTAATTAAACTAGAAAATGTGTGTGCATGCTCAGTCATGTCCAACTCTTTGTGGCCCCGTGGACTACAGCCTGCCAGGCTCCTCTGTCCATGGGATTTTCCAGGCAAGAATACTGGAGTGGGTTACCATTTCCTCTTCCAGGGGACCTTCCCAACCCAGGGATAGAACTGTTCTCTTGCTTCGGCAGGTGGATTCTTTACTACCAGCACCACTTGGGAATCAATCAGTAAAACCTCAGATTCAAACAACTCTGGCAACGGTGCATGTGTGCTAATAAGTCCCATTCAACTTTGCAACTCTATGGACTGTAGTCCACCAGGCTCCTCTGTCCATGGGATCCTCCAGACAAGAATATCAGTGTGTGCTACCTTTCCTTCTCCAGGGCATCTTTCCCACCCAGTGATTAAACCCTCATCTCTTACATCTCCAGCATTGACAGGCATGTTCCTTACCACCAACGCCACCTGGGAAGCCCAAAGCAAACACCTGAACAGAGTGAACAGAATCCTAGAAGTCATTTCAAAATCACTTCTTTTCAAAGCTTCCATTTTTCTAAGCTTTTAACTACTGTACTTATCTTCCATACTTATCTTTAAGGCACTAAAAATCATCACAGAAAAGTAAAAATTTGGTAGACTCAGAAAAACACTGGACTTAGTGATGTTTGTCTGATTCCGCTACAACTTACAAATATTCTGTTCATTTTCTCTATAGAATGGATTATCACCTCCAACTTTCCCTACAGACTGACGAAAAACGTAGTGTGTTAATGGAAATAAACAAGATCTTAGTAAGCATTACAATATTACATAAAGATGATATTATATTTATTATCAAAGTATGCTAATACTCACCAGAAAAGGGATTTTTGCCAATGATTAAGACATTTGGCAATGACATCATGACCAACTGCTGCAAAGTCTCCTATAAAAAGATACACAAAGATTGCTGTATGGGTAAGCTGACAGGGTAATTACTCAACAAGCTATAACTTACTATTTGCACATCTCTTAGGCATGCTATACCTACACTGCTGCTGCTAAGTCGCTTCAGTCGTGTCCGACTCTGTGTGACCCCAGAGACGGCAGCCCACCAGGCTCCCCATCCCTGGGATTCTCCAAGCAAGAACACTGGAGTATTGTGCCATTTCCTTCTCCAATGCATGAAAGTGAAAAGTGAAAGTGAAGCTGCTCAGTTGCATCCGACTCTTAGCGACCCCATGGACTGCAGCCTACCAGGCTCCTCTGTCCATGGGATTTTCCTGGCAAGAGCACTGGAGTGGTTTGCCATTGCCTTCTCCGATACCTACACTGGTATACTGCAATTGAAAAGCTTACAAAATGTGAAAAAAAGGTAACCAAAGTCTTAAATCTTTTGTAACGATAAGTTAATGACTTAAATAACTAAAAGTGTAAGATGTCCATAAAACAAAGATGTCCAAGTTGAACTGAACTTTAGGTATTAGATAACTAAACAAGCTTCTTCAATAGAAATTCAAGTATGTATGCTTTTTGTTGTTTTGTTTTTCACTACTTTTAAGAGAACTAAAAAAATCAACCGATAGTAAAATTAAGAAAGCTAGTTAGTTCATTAAAAATTCTATCTTACGATCATTTTCATAAAAGTGAATGATTCATGTAAATCCATGGCTAATTCATATCAATGTATAACAAAAACTACTGTAATGATGTAAAGTAATTAGCCTCCAACTAATAAAAAAAAAAAAAAAAAAAAAAAAAAAAAGTGAATGATTCTTCCTCAGTGAATCATTATTTATCTCCTATGAAAAACAGACGCTTCACTCCCTTTGACTTCTGTCAAACCTTTTGTGACAAGAATATATACAAATTTTTATGGCAGAGAATGATTCAGAAAGAACTGAATGCTTCCCAACAACTCATTTTATTTATACACCCAGGAGGCATCTTCTGTTCTTTGAGCACATGAAGGAACACACCATGTCTATCATTATAAGCACCAACAATGACACAGTACAAAGGGCCTGGAAGAAAGAGACTACAGATCGATCACTGTAATGTGGTAACACTGGATCTCTGCAATATTAAATGTTAATAAGTGCTTAACTATTGGGCTTTCACTACACCTTCAGACATACTAGCTGCTAAGGAATAATTTTTTGTTATTTCTTTCTGAATCATTCTTTACTTTAACACTACGACAAACAAGCAAATAACCATGAAAACCTAACCTGTATTGATTTTAAAAAACTGTGCGATTCTAAATCTACACGTGTTTTCTTATAGCGGGAGAACAGCATGATCCCAGAGGCTAGTTAGAATTGATCTTTTATCTATAATTTGTTACAGATATGTATTAGAAAGTTATAAAAAATGTTCTTCAGTACTATATTCACTAGTTCTTAAAAAAACTAACACCAAAAACATGCACACATTTAAAGAAAGGTAAACATTTAGCATATGCTGAACACAATAAAGAATACAGTTAAAAATATTATGTAAATATTGTTAATAATATTAAAAATAAGTGTCAAAAACTGCTACAATCACTTACTCCAACAGATGATACTGAGTTTGGGAATATTTAATAAGTGAATTTTCAAGTTAAAAGCAAGGTATTTCAAGATAAAATATGCTACAGCCAAGTATGTAACAGCTAAATGAACTTTAATAAATGTCAAATTAATTGTAATTTTTAGTTTCCTTGTTCTCATTTTTATCTCATTTTTTATGATTTTGTTGAGTATGTAGTTCTAGAATCCTTTTTGTTCTTTTAGAGAGAGAAGGTAAAAATCTGCAAAACACTGAGAGAAAAGTAATCATTAACCTATAACTACATACCCAGCAAAACTATCTTTTAAGAACAAGGATGAAATAAAGGCATTTTCAGACAAACACTGATAAACATTACTATCAACAAGCCTTTTCTGCACAAAACAACTAAAGGATGTACTTCAGTAAGAAAGTAGTATCAAAGGCAGATCTGAGATACAACAGAAAACCATGTAAAGGAAAAAAAGGAAAATACGGGACTTGATCTACAAGAACACTGATTTATTTAACAGTATGTTCAATATTTAATTAATGGGGCTTAAAAAGAGAACTAAAATACAAGACAAGAAGAGCTTAAAAACTGTAACAGGAAAAAAAAAAACTAACAGGGAATGGCTAAAATAAGGCAAATTGGAAGTGGTCAAACAGGAGATGGCAAGACGGAACACCGACATTCTAGGAATCAGCGAACTAAGATGGACTGGAATGGGTGAATTTAACTCAGATGACCATTATATCTACTACTGTGGGCAGGAATCCCTTAGAAGAAATGGGGTAGCCATTACAGTCATCAAAAGAGTCTGCAATGCAGTACTTGGATGCAATCTCAAAAACGACAGAAATGATCTTTGCTCATTTCCAAGGCAAACCATTCAATATCACGGTAATCCAAGTCTATGCCCTGACCAGTAACACTGAAAAGCTGAAGTTGAATGGTTTTATGAAGACCGACAAGATCTTCTAAAAGTAACACCCAAAAAAGACTGTCCTTTTCATTATAGGGGACTGGAATGCAAAAGTAGGAAGTCAAGAAAACACCTGGAGTAACAGGCAAATTTGGCCTTGGAGTACAGAATGAATCAGGGATAAGGCTAATAGAGTTCTGCCAAGAGAATGCACTGGTCAAAGCAAACACCCTCTTCCAGCAACACAAGAGAAGACTCTACACATGGACATCACCAAATGGTCAACATCAAAATCAGACTGATTATGTTCTTTGCAGCCAAATATGGAGAAGCTCTATACAGTCAGCTAAAACAAGACTGGGAGCAGACTGTGGCTCAGATCATGAACTCCTTATTGCCAAATTCAGACTTAAATTGAATGAAGTGAGGAAAACCACTAGACCATTCAGGTATGACCTAAATCAAATCCCTTATGACTATACAGTGGAAGTGAGAAATAGATTTAAGGGACTAGATCTGATAGACAGAGAGCCTGATGAACTATGGATGGAGGTTCATGACTTCGTACAGGAGATAGGGATCAAGACCAACCCCAAGAAAAAGAAATGCAAAGAAGCAAAATGGCTGTCTGAGGAGGCCTGACAAATAGCTGTGAAAAGAGACGCAAAAAGCAAAGAAGAAAAGGAAAGATATACCCATTTGAATGCAGAGTTCCAAAGAATAGCAAGTAGAGATAAGAAAGCCTTCCTCAGTGATCAATGCAAAGAAAGAGAGGAAAACAACAGAAAAGGCAAGACTAGAGATCTCTTCAAGAAAATTAGAGATACCAAGGGAACATTTCATGCAAAGATGGGCTCAATTAAGGACAGAAATGGCAGGGACCTAACAGAAGATATTAAGAAGAGAATACACAGAAACTGTACAAAAAAGATCTTCACGACCCAGATAGTCACGNCTCAGATATGCAGATGACACCACCCTTATGGCAGAAAGTGAAGAAGAACTAAAGAGCCTCTTGATGAAAGTGAAAGAGGAGAGTGAAAAAGTTGGCTTAAAGCTTAACATTCAGAAAACTAAGATCATGGCATCTGGCCCCATGACCTCATGGGAAATAGATGGGGAGACAGTGGAAACAGTGTCTGACTTTATTTTGGGGGGCTCCAAAATCACTGCAGATGGTGACTGCAGCCATGAAATTAAAAGACGCTTACTCCTGGGAAGAAAAGTTATGACCAACCTAGACAGCATATTAAAAAGCAGAGACATTACTTTGTCCACAAAGGTCTGTCTCATGAAGGCTATGGATGTGAGAGTTGGACTGTGAGGAAAGCTGAGCACCGAAGAATTGATGCTTTTTAACTGTGGTGTTGGAGAAGACTCCTGAGAGTCCCTTGGACTGCAAGGAGACCCAACCAGTCCATCCTAAAGGAGATCAGTTCTGAATATTCAATGGAAGGACTGATGTTGAAGCTGAAACTCCAATACTTTGGCCACCTGATGCGAAGAGCTGACTCATTTGAAAAGACCCTGATGTTGGGAAAGATTGAGGGCAGGAGGAGAAGGGGACGACAGAGGATGAGATGGTTGGATTTCATCACCGAGTCAATGGATATGGGTTTGGGTGGACTTGGGGAGTTGGTGATGGACAGGGAGGCCTGGCATGCTTCGGTTCAGGGAGTTGCAAAGAATCGGACACAACTGAGCTACTGAACTGAACTGAACTACGGTCATAATACTATTGCATAAAAAGAGTAAGCTACTGATTACTTTTGGCCTTTGCTCTGAGAAGAATAAAAGGTACAATTTCAAGAGCAGTTTCCCCAAAAAACCGAAGTAGGGTGAAAAATTTTAAACCAGTAGACAGAAAAACATGTAGAAACAATTATAAATGGTATAATTTCTCCAGAATTATGAAACAATGCTAAACTCATTTGCAGCTGAAGTGTTTCATTATACAAATTATCAGGAAATTTAAAAAATCATAAAACAATAATTATTTGTAAATTTGATAATTATGAAGTACATGTTTGTATCTTTAACACTGCATAAGAAACAAACTGTGTTATGACTACTCTACCTCCAACAAATAGACCAACACCTGGCATATAATAAGCCTTTAGTATATATTAGGTGACTAATACTAAACAACACAAAAATGTGAATATGCAAGCAGTTATTAAAATATTAGATTAAAAAAAGAACTACTCACCTGGTAATAAAATTTTATCTGTCTCACCAAAATGGACAGATTATGAATTCTAAGTGAAGCATCATTGTTGACTTTTTTATTTACTCTCTGACTCTCTGATTTAGGATTACTGTAAGAAATAAAAAAAGGAATACTTTAAAAATTATATTGAAATATACCTATCAATTTATAGACAACAAAAAATAATCATATAATACATTTTTTCTATAAACAAACTGTGTATTCATCTTCATTGGCAGATGATCCAAAAGGACACAGGATTATTTTGACATGTATTTTGTGGTTTTAATTAATATAAAAGCATCTGATATTTCACAGACAGTGGTAAAATATGTCAGATGTTGCACTTCATTCTCATTTTGTCTCTTCATCTTTCCTGAAATGAATAACATTTTATTTCCTTTGAATATATATACTTCCACCACCCAATATAAATCTATTTAAATCAATAATGTAAATTTGGACTAATAATCAATAAATGTTGTATCTTCTCACTGGAAAATGAGGACTATACTTGAGCGGGCAATGTCCCAGAGAAATTAAAGAGTGAAGTGAGGACACAAGATATCACTTTCATCTTGGATAAACTTTGTAGATTTAATAAAAGCAAAGGATTGAAAGATTGTGAAGTAGCATAAGCTGAAAAAGAATAAAAGGTAGGACATGGTTAAGAAAGAAATTCAATGACACCAAAAGCAAAGGCAATAAAAGCAAAAATAAACAGGCGTGACTACATCATACTAAAACGCTTCTGGACAGTAAAGGATACAGTAAAAAATGATAAGGTAAATAACTGAATGGGAGAAAATATGTACAAATCATTTATTTAATGGGGTTAATGTTCAAAATATACAAAGTACTCATACACCTCACTAGTGAAAATGATTTTAAAATAGGTAGAGGAACTGAATAGGCATTTTTCAAAAAAAAAAAAAAACAAACACCATACAGATGGTCAATGGCTATATGAAAAGGTGCTCAACATCACAAGAATCAGGAAAATGCAAATTAGAACTACAAAGAAGTATTACCTCATACCTGTTGGAATCACAGTCCCTAAAAGACAAGCGATAAGGGTAGGTGAGGATGTGGAGAAAATGACCCCTTGTGCACTGCTGTTGCGAATACATTGGTGCAACCACTATGAAAGTTCCTCAAAAACTTAAAAACAGAACTACCATATGATCCAGCAATCCCATTTTTGCGTATAAAAACCAAAGGAATAAAAACAAGATCTCAAAGAGATAATGGTGCTCCCATATTCACTGCAGCATTATTTACAATAGCCAAGATACAGAAACAACCCAAACATCCTACAACAGATAAGTGGATTAAAAACATATGAAATACACACCCAGACACACACAGGTACATACACAGATAGAGGGACTTCCCAGGTGGTACTAGTGGTAAAGAGCCTCCCTGCCAATGCAGGAGACTTAAGAGACACAGGTTCAATCCATGGGTCAGGAAGATCCCCTGGAGGAGGACACGGCATCCCACTCCAGTATTCTTGCCAGGAGAATCCCATGGACAGAGGAGCCTGGCGGACTATGGTCCACGTGGTCGAAAAGAGTCGGACGAGACTGAGGTGACTTAGCATGCACACAGATAGCATATTATTCAGACATGAGAAAGAAGGAAATCCTGCCATTTGTGAAAATATGGATGAAACCTGAGGGGGCCATGCTAAGTGAAATAACCTAGAAAGAGACAGAAAAATACTGTATATTCTTCTTTATATGTTAAATATTAAAAAAAAGTCAAACTCATACAGAGTGAAGTAAGTCAGAAAGAGAAACACAAATCGACATATATATGAAATTTAGAAAGACAGTAACAATGATCCTACATGCCGGGCAGCAAAAGAGACACAGATGTAAAGAACAGACTTTTGGACTCTGTGGGAGAAGGCGAGGGCGGGATGATTTGAGAGGATAACACTGGAATGTGTATATTACCATATGTAAAATAGATGACCAGTGCCAAGTTCGATGCATGAAGCAGGGCACCCAAGCCAGTGCTCTGGGAAAACCTGCAGGGACAGGGCGGGGAGGGAGGCTCGAGCAGGGTTCAGGATGGGGGGACACGTGTACACCGTGGCTTACCCATGTCGATGTGTGGCAAAAACCTTCACAATACTGTAAAGTAATTATCCTCCAATTAAAATAAATAATTTTTAAAAGAATGTCAAATTCATAGAAACAGTAGAAAAACACTTGCCAGTATCTGGGGATGGGAGAATTGGGTATAAAGAGGGAGAGGCTGGTAAAAGGGTATAAAATTTCAGCTATAAGATGAATAAGGCCTGAAGATGTAATGAAAAACATGGTAACCACTGTATTAAATAATTGAAATTTGTTAAGAGTGTGGAACTTAAATGTTCTGACACACAGTTAAAAATGTGAGGTGAGGGATGTATTAATTAATTAGATGGTGGGAATCCATTCACATGTACATATACATAACACTTTAAATAATTATAATTTTGTCAACTATATGTCAATAAAGGTGAAGAAAATAAAATTTTTTAATTACAGTTGTTTTTTTTTTTTAAAGAATAGGAAATTTAAGTAAAAGGGGTGACATTAGAATGGAAGGGTGTAAGTTAATGCCGGAACATTAGCGAAGATCTAGTTCCTCATTAGGACAAGGAGGTCAAGCTAGAAAAAGACATTGCCAGGTGAAATGTCCCTATGCAAGGGCTGAGTATCATCATAAAGCAGGAATCTAACAAGCTGCTGGGACAGAGTACTAACCCATGATTACAGACGAAGTGCAGGCACCTCCACACGAGAATGCAGAGAAGACTGACGCTTACCTGACAGAGAACAGGAACTGAACGGACACTTCTCACTCCTTAATCCCTCCCTTTTTAACACAGACTGTTGTACTCCTGATGCCTTCAGTTCCTTCCCTAGACAGCATTCTATGGTGCTTTATTTCAGCAATTCTTTTGTGGGTTACATTTATCAATATTTACCATATCAGAAAATAAAACAAAATTTCACATTTGTTTACTTATTGACTCATTAAAAAAATAATAAACTGATTATATACTTATAAACAGCAAACCAAAAAAAATTTATTGAGAAGACTGGCACTGTTTTACTATTTTTACAAATCTCTTTAATACCTAGCTTAACGTTAAAAAAAGGGGAGGGCTGATGTTCATCTTCGCTTCTGCATTCCATCTACTGTTTGTGTTATTTTGGTTCATTTATATGAAGAAATAAGGGGCTTCCCCAGTGGCTCAGTGGTAAAGAATTCACCTGTCAAAGCAGCAGACATGGGTTCGATCCCTGGTAGGGGCAGATCCCACATGCTGCAAAGCAACTAAGCCCATGTGCCACAACTACTGAGCTTGCACTCTAAAGCCCTGGAATTGCAACTACTGAGCTCGTGCGCCTAGAGCCCATGCTCTGCAACAAGAGGAACCGAGACAGTAAGAAGCCCACACACCACGAGTTGCAGTTGCTCACTGCAACTAGAGAAAAGTCCAAGCAGCACCAAAGACCCAGCACAGCCAAAAATAAATCAATTAAAAAAAAAATATATATATATAAAGAAATCAGCCTCACACAGACATTTAATTAAAAGTAGACAGAGCCTATGGACTCTCTGAAAGGACCCTCAAACACTACTGTGAGAACTACTGCTTTACTTCAACTATTCTCTTGCCAGCACTCTCAACACTAATCCTTCTGTTCTTGGATCACACTCACACTGTCAATCCCTGATACTGAATCAGCTCAGCTGTGCACACTGAGACTGCCCATAGTACTAGGTGAGAAAATAACAGAACCAACACTCAGCTAAAACATCATACAGGGAGGAACCGTTAGCACCGAACCTGCCCTCTGCCATAGAAATTAGGCCAAGAATTAGAAACTGGACAAAACATACAAAATAACTAATTTCAGACTTTGAACAGTAAATAATACAAGACTATAACCTGTAGCAAAGCTCTAATGAAACAGTAAGTACCTTCCAGAATGAGACATAAGGAAGGGTAGCCCACGTCTCACTGAACTCGAGGAGACAAAGTTTGGAGTTTAAGGGAATTAAAAAACTGACATTTTCAGAAAAGAAAACCAGAGACAAGGAAGCTATACAAACAAAGAGCTCCCAAAAATATGCCCTTAAGATTTTGACTAAATACTAAGTTGTACATATGTACCCTAAAACTCCAGGAGGCTGAACAGAGGACAAGTACAGCAAAGCTGGAAACTAGATAACACCAAAAGCTCACAGAGTGCAAAGACAAATTTAAGTTCTGACCAGTCAGAATAAATACCTAGAGCATCAGCAGAGTCCTTAGGAGAATCATCTCTTGCAACTAAACTAGCAGTTGAGTAAAAGCTATTCCAGAAGCTCCTTAGAAAGCTTTGCAAACAAGCATTGAAAGGCTCAAGCTGGGAATTCCCTGGCAGTCCAGTGGTTAGGAATCTGCACTTCCACTACAGGGGACAAAGGACTGAACCCTGGTTAGGGAACTCAGATCCCGCATGCCATGTGGTGTGGCAAGAAAAAGAAGAGAAAAGAAAGGATCAAGTTGATTGCAAGTAACTTGAAAATCTGCCAAAACAAACTTCATCACTGTTTAAAGAACAAGATCTAGACACCACCATTAATAATCACAATGTCCAACATAAAGTAAAAAATTACTAGACATGCAAGGAAGCAAAACAAATAAATAAATAATGTGATTTGTGAACAGGAAAGAAAATGGAAACAGTTAGCAGAAACAGACCCAGAAATTAAGAGACCAAGGAAACAGCAAACAAGGATTTCAAAAGAGCTACTATGAATATACTAAAGAACTTTTAAAAAATAAACATTATGTGAAAAAAAAGTTAACTTTTTAAAAACTCAAATGAAACTTCTAAGGCTAAAAAATATAATATCTGGAATGAAAAATTTATTACATGTGTGTAATAGAAGATATAAGAAACTATTACAAAAGATCAGTGAATTTGAAGATACAGAAAAAAAAAAATCTCAAAAAACACAGGGAAAAAAAAAAACAAACACCTGAAATGAACAAAGGAGACTAAAGGAGCTAAGGCCAACAGATTAACAAAAAAGTTGCATGGACAGTACAGTTTT